AAATAACCAATACTCATGGTACATATGTAGACTCAGACATCAAGTTGTCTATTTCTAAAAAGACCCAAGTCTATCACTAAGGCACACTAATTAATAAAGAGAGACTTACAATTGAAAATCTAATCCAATTTCACACATTACATTACATCTAATAACTCCAATATATAAAAGAAAGTTGCTCTTTTTTTTTCTTTTTTCTTTTTTTTGTTCGAAAGAAAAAATGAAAAAGAAAAGTTGTCGAAGTTTGAAATCAAATCCACAACCACATGTCTCCAATTGCATTTACACGACGTTGTTCATCACTTATTTATGTTTGTTCACCAGAATCATGCACATTTATATAAATTTGGTAATTTAGAATATGAGCTAAGCCATCTCTCGTTGTATAATTCAGAATCAAAACCCCAACATGCCTACCAATAATTCAAATAACAATAACAATAATAACAATAACAATAATGTACCGGAGAGTACTCTTTATCATAAAGCAGTCATCTTTAATTCACTTCTTCTGCACGGTGACCAACAAAATTGAAACTAGCTAGCTAGTGAAATGGAAAAGAGAGAATAAAAGGATCTAAACACACACACACGTGTATATATATATATATATATATATATAGGATAGGGAAATCTCACCCTCCTGGCTAGTTAGGAAGATGGAAACTATACCTCTGTAATTGACATTCAGAGATGTAACCTTTTGGACCCTGACGATAATTATATACGTTCATCATGGTCGACCAGAAAATTCTACAATCAAATTCAGCTTGATGACCTAAGTACTTGCGTGATGGATGGGAGGATGGCCAAAGGAATGCCTACATTTTTATTTTTTTTTAAGGCAAACTTCAAATGGACAGTTTAACTATTGGAGTACTGCTAATTTTACACCAAAACTATTTCTTATATTAATTTTATTTCCAAACTATTTTGATTTTTCAATTAAATATTTAGAATCACTTAACAAAAAAATGTTACTCTTTTTAATAAAATGAAAATATTTAAATAAAAAACAAAATTATAGTTTGAATAAAAATTTAGATAAAAAAAAAATCTTGAAAATGAATGGAAGTTCTTAACTGAATTCTTTTGAAAATTTGAGATAAAATTGTTTGATAGTGAAAGTGAAACTACCTGTATAATTGAAAAATATTTTCTTGAGCTTTCAATATTCTTTGGTATGAGTTTGCTAATTGATTTATGGCCTTTTGCCTATGGTTGAAATGGCTAACAGTAGTTGCCACATTTTTCTTCTTTGTGCAATAGCAAACAATTCTAGGTTGCTCATCACATTTCTTCAAAGTTTGGTTGAGGATATTGAATGCCAAAAACATTGACTTGCTTTTTGCCCATTGAAGGTGACTGGCAGGGTTCCTTTTAACATGAAAGTCCAAGTTTTTCGGACCAAATAATAAAAGAAGAAATGATCAAAGATCCCTTAATTGTTTAAAGTCCTTGTGTTAGACTTCTGCAACTTGGTTAACTATCGTCTGTTAATTAAAATACCAGAGGCACCCTTTCAATATCTCGTTCTTTGCACCCTTTGCCCCCACCTTGGTCAACATATATGTTGACTTGTACTCTTAACAATTTTGTTTTTTTAGATCATGAAGGCATCCTAGGTCTAAATATTCAAACTAATATTCATATTTTTATCGAACTCGGAAGATAAGAATAATTACTAAAAGAATTTTTTACATACATAAAAATTTGAATTCAAAATCACTTATTTAAATGACTAGAATTCCTTTCATTCAAATTAATCATCTTATGTATGTTCTAACCGTTTAAACTCATTAATTATTTCATTTATTTTACTTTGAAACAATGAATTTACTTCAATTATCATAGTTTACATTTGCATCTGGAGAGAGATTACAAAAAAAAATTTATATTGAATACGTTATTTAAAAAAATAGATAATATTATCCGAATAACCAAAATAATAATAATAATAACAATCTTCTTTGTATTAAATCATATCAATGTATTTTGTATGATTGTATCATAACAATTTCATATAAAAATTATTACATAAATCTGCTCCATTCCATTAAGGTGCTGAGAATATCTTTGTTTGCTGCACCACCCAAATCATACGAAAATTTATTCAAGATTAAGGTTGTATTATTTAAATTACATCGATCAATAGGAGAACCCAAAGCAAAGTCAAATATATATATGTGTGTAATTATATTAGACCTGATATTGGGCCAGGCCTAAAACCAGACTTTAACCCAATCTACTTGACTTGGGCATTGTAGTCTTGGTATCGGGCCAATTATTTGAAGGCCCACCAAAAATTGCATTAAGCGGGTCGTTTTGCGTTAGGGTTTCAAAGAAAACCCTAGCTATAAACTCTCCCTTCTCGTCTCTCTACCCTTCTTCCCCATTTTCTGCACACCATACGCAAAACACAGAGACTGAAGAGTCGATCTGAAAATGGTGCAGCGTCTGACTTACCGGAAGCGTCACAGCTACGCCACAAAATCCAACCAGCACCGTGTGGTCAAAACTCCTGGTAAGTAACACTTCCTTTACACGGAAACTGTTTTTTTATTATTATTATTTAATGTTTATGCTAAAGAAATTGCACAGTGGATTAATGGGTTTTTGTTGCTGTTCTGTTTTTGTATTGAAGGTGGGAAATTGATTTACCAAACCACCAAGAAGAGAGCTAGCGGACCCAAGTGCCCAGTTACTGGCAAGAGGATTCAAGGGGTACCTTATTTTTTCTATCATCTGTTTTTCTTTTTCTTTTTTTATGCATCTGACTGGGATGCTTCTTGTTGAATTGAATCCACCTTTATTACAATGTTGGATTGCTTAAGGGTTTTTTTTTTTTTTTATCTAGTATGGAAATTGGTGTACCTTTGATTTGCTTATTTAAAGGTAAGGATTTTGGATGAAATGATAAGACATGGTTGGGTTTGTGTTAGCAGTTGGAATTTTAATAATTCGGATCATTTTGAATTATTTTTACAGTTTTAGCCATAGGTCTGTTGATACCTGAATCAGGAGAGGTGTGGTTGGCCGATAGTTTAGAATGTACAGATGACATTTTTTTGTTTTTTTTTTTTTTTTTGTTTTTGTCATGTTGAACGGTTTCCCCCAGGAATCTGGGGCTGCAGGTTACTACAATCCCTAACTTATGAAACTTAAAAGGGTGAGTTTTAATAATACTATGTGGCTTTTGGAGCAAGCAGTCTCTAGGTCTTATGTTGAATTCAGCCCTGCTTAAATGCACTTCCTTGTACGATGATGTATGATAATTCGTCTTTTTGTCAATAAGATGACTAATATAGTTAATGTTTTTTGCTGGTATATGAATTTGTTATTGCTTGTTCGATTCAAGGGTTTGGTTTATATGTGATTGGTTGATGGTTTCCTGCATATTTTTAGAGATCTGCAGGAGAAGGGAGCCAGCAATACAGTGATTTATACTCTGATTTTCTTTCCAAAGAGGGATCTGACGGTGCTGGTTCTGATAGATTTTTTACTTTCTTTGCAGATTCCTCACTTGAGACCTGCTGAATACAAGAGGTCTAGATTGTCAAGGAACCGCAGGACTGTGAACCGTGCCTATGGTGGAGTCTTGTCCGGAGGTGCTGTTCGGGAGAGGTATGTTACCCTGATGGTTACTTGTTTTGTGGTTTTCTGGAACTGATGAAGGCTGGCTTTAAGTGGTTTTGGTGTGTTTATTATGCAGAATTATACGAGCCTTCTTGGTGGAGGAGCAAAAGATTGTGAAGAAGGTTTTGAAGATTCAGAAATCGAAGGACAAACAAGCCTCAAGGACCTAAAAGAGATGTTGATTAAGTGAAGTCTTTTGAGTTAGAAGATGTGTTTGATCAAAATTTTGTTATGATTAATGGCACTCAAATGTGGAATTGATTATTAGCTTGTTTGATACTCTGATGACTTGGATATGTTCATTTCACCTGCTGTCTATTCGATTTCTTTGCCTATATTTGGATGGTTTGCATATTTCCTTACGTTTCTTGTTATTATTGCTAGTGTCTAAAGATATCTAAGATCAATTTCTCAGTCTCCAACAAGATTGTGAGATTAATCTAGACTTGATACAGGAATGAGATTAATCCACAAAACCTTTGTCAAAAACGCATCTTGTCACCGGCTTTACGTTGTTCAATCTAAACGCGTTAAAGCATTTCCACTTTCTTCCGACATAAATATGTTAAGTTTATAAATAGAGTTACAGAAATTTGGAGATGAAAACAAGAGAACACTCCTGAAATTCTTTCAAGCTTAGAAGATTTTACGAAGAGAGAGTTTTGAGAGGAGGATAAGATCACTTTCAGTTCCAGTTGCCTAGATATAAGAAACTAATTCCATTTCAAAAGGAAATCTCTCTACAAGCTAATGGAAATGTAAGAGCGTTCAGTTCACAGAACATAGGGAAAGACAGCCAGAAAGTGATAAGAAGGTTTGTCAATTGGTATGAGGAAACTAATGTGGCCACTGGCCAGGACTATATTCTTTGTATTAAATCATATCAAAGTATTTTGTATGATTGTATAATAACAATTTCTTATAAAAATTATGACGTACATCTTCTCCATTCCATTAAGGTGCTGACAATATCTTTGTTTGCTGCAACACCCAAATCATATGAAAATTTATTCAACATTAAGGTTGTATTATTTAAAATACATCGGTCAATAGGAGAAAACAAAGAAAATGTCAAATTTTTATACATTAAAAAAAAAAAAAAAAAGGTCAAATCATATTGGACCTGATATTGGGGTGGGCCTAAAACACCAGACTTTAACCCAGTCTACTTGACTTGGGCATTGAATTCTTGGTATCGGGCCCATTATTTGAAGGCCCACCAAAAATTGCATTAAGCGGGTCGTTTTGCGTTAGGGTTTCAAAGAAAACCCTAGCTATAGACTCTCCCTTCTCGTTTCTCTGCCCCTCTTCCTCTTTGTCTGCACATCGAACGCAAACACAGAGACTGAAGAGTCGATCTCAAAATGGTACAGCGTCTGACTTACCGGAAGCGTCACAGCTACGCCACAAAATCCAACCAACACCGTGTGGTCAAAACTCCTGGTCAGTAACACGTCCGTTTACATAAAAACTGTTGCTTTTGTTTAATGTTTATTCTAAAGAAAAATGCACCGTAGATTAATGGTTTTTTTTTTTTTGCTGTTCTTTTTTTGTATTGAAGGTGGGAAATTGATTTACCAAACCACCAAGAAGAGAGCTAGCGGACCCAAGTGCCCAGTTACTGGCAAGAGGATTCAAGGGGTAGCTTATTTTTTCTATCCTCTTTTTTTCTTTTCTTTTTTTAATGCATCTGACTGGGATGCTACTTATTGAATTGAATCCACCTTTAATAGAACACTGGATTGCTTAAGGTTTTTTTTTTTTTTTTTAATCTAGTATGGAAATTGGTGTACCTTTGATTTGCTCATTAAAAGCTAAGGATTTTGGATGAAATGATAAGACATAGTTGGGTTTGTGTTAGCAGTTGGAATTTTAATACTTTGGATCATTTTGAATTATTTTTACAGTTTTAGCCATAGGTCTGTTAATGCCTGAATCAGGAGAGGAGTGGTTGGCTGATAGTTTAGTATGTACAGATGACATTTTTTTTTTTTTTGTCATGTTGAACTGTTTCCCTCCGAAATCTGGGGCTGCAGGTTACTGCAATCTCTAACTTATGAAACTTAAAAAGGGTGAGTTTTAACAATACTTTGTGGCTTGTGGAGCAAGCAGTCTCTAAGTCTTGCGTTGAATTCAGCCCTGCTTAAGTGGTTTTTGTCATGATAATCTATGATAATTTGTCTTTTTGTCCAATAAGATGACTAATCTTATTAATGATTTTTGCTGGTATATGAATTTGTTATTGCTTGTTGGATTTTGGTTTATATGTGATCTGTTGATGGTTTCTTGCATATTTTTAGAGATCTGCAGGAGAAGTGAGCCAGGAATGATTGCCGGCTGCAGTGTTTTATACTCTGCTTTTCTTTCCAAAGAGGGATCTGATGGGCTGGTTCTGATAGATTCTTTACTTTCTTTGCAGATTCCTCACTTGAGACCTGCTGAATACAAGAGGTCTAGATTGTCAAGGAACCGCAGGACCGTGAACCGTGCCTATGGTGGAGTCTTGTCTGGAGGTGCTGTTCGGGAGAGGTTTGTTACCCTGATGGTTTCTTGTCTTGTGGTTTTCTGGAACTGATGAAGACTGGCTTTAAATGGTTTCGGTGTGTTTCTTATGCAGAATTATACGAGCCTTCTTGGTGGAGGAGCAAAAGATTGTGAAGAAGGTTTTGAAGATTCAGAAATCAAAGGAAAAACAATCCTCAAAGAGCTAAAAGAGAGGTTGATTAAGTGAAGTCTTTTGAGTTAGAAGACGTGTTTCATCAAAATTTTGTTATGCTTAATGTCAGTCAATGTGGAATTGATTATTAGCTTGTTTAATACTCTGATGACTTGGATATGTTCATTTCACCTGCTGTCTATTTGATTTCCTTGCCAGTATTTGGATGGTTTGCATATTTCTTTGCATTTCCCTCTCTATCAGTTTCTCAGTCTCCAACAAGTCTGCATTCTTCTTACGGTTCGTTCATTATTTCTTCTTATCTCATTTTGGCTACAGCAATTTATCAATACCCTTCATTCCTGTATATTTTAACATGTAATTTTAATAATAGATCATAAGATGACTTCTTGTTTTGGTCATCTTTAGCATTTTCAAAGTCAATTATATTTATTGAATTTTACAAAAATTAAATTTTTTGGAAGGTTTAGTGTCAGCCTTTTTTGGTTAAACTTGAGGATGACCAGCTGATGAAAAGGAAGGGAATGGTTGCTGGGGAAAGCAATTGTAGAAAGGGTCATTTAATTTTCACAACAAATGATGTCATTTCACTTGCATGACGGCAATCGTGTCAACAATGAACATTTCATGTCCTTTAGTTTTGCAAGATTATGCACATGAATTGAATCTTCATTTGGTTCCTATGCATAAATTCTAAAGCAATATGGTTGAATCTTCATTAATCCTTCCAAACCGAGTGAAAACTATTTCAAGCCATGAACCAACGTGGTTGTCAAGACTCCAGTCAATATGAATGTGACAAAGATGAGCAGCCAACTTTTGCTATTCAGTTTGAGGTGGTTCTGTCGATGAAATCTTTAAGCTCAAATTTGACGAAGCATTTGTTACCTCTTCTTGTAAGATGAAGAAGGCCTCATTACCTACGACCCATGATAGCATTTGACGCCATGACAAAGCAATATGGTTCGATAGCTCTAGATCGCATGTAGGGTGAAAATTAGGTTGGTAGTTATGTCAAAACCCAGAAGTGCTTCAGCAAAAGAGATTTCTCACCTGCAATTGCAAGTATTAGGTATCTTAGGTATCTTACCGTAATATATATATATATATATATATATATATATATACACACACACGAAACATAATTTTATTTTATTTATCTAGGATCGACACTTGTCTACATTTATCAACTTTTCATCTATTTAATAATAAATTTAAATATTTTCTCCAAAAAAAAAAAAAAACTTCTTCCAAGAAGAACCCATTAATCATAAGAAAATTTACCCAAAAATATATAAAGAATATAAAATACTCAAATCAATGCAATTTTTTTATTTCCCATGAAAATTAAAATACATAAAAATTTATAGTAAATAAAAACATATAATTTACATTTGCAGAAATTTTTATTTTTTTTAATAAAAAAATAGGTTAATAGATTGTTCAAGTTGTTTTGTTAGGAGTTGGAATTTTGATACTTTGGATCGTGGTGAACTACTTTTAGACTTTTAGGTGTTGTTTGGTAATCAAGAATAGAGTGATTGGAATGAGAATAGAAGTTTTATTCCCACATTATAGCTGTTTGGTTAAAAGGAATGAAGTGGGAATGGAAATAAAAATTTATACATAACTTCATTCCCACATAAGATATAGAAATAAAAACAAGGAATGAAAATAAATTTTTTTAAAAAATAATAATATATTTTATTTATTTATTGTCTATTAACTACTTTTACCACCACCACCACCACTACTAACACCACCATCACAACCACTACCATCATCATTACCATCACAACCACCACCACCACAACCATCACCACCACTACTACCGAATCACTATCGTCATTGCTACCACCACCACTAGAACCACCACCGTTGTAACCACAATCACTACCATCACCTTTATTATTTTTACAACCATTATAGTTTAATAGAATTATTTTTTTAATCATTGTTTTTATTTGTATAAAAAATCGGATATTAAAAAATTTAAATCACAACCATCACCACTATTACTACCGCAATCACTACCGCCATTGCTACCACCACCACTAGAACCACCATTGTTGTAACCACAATCACTACCGCCACCTTTATTATTTTTACAACCATTGTAGTTTAATAAAATTATTTTTTTAATCATTTTTTTTATTTTTATAAAAAATCGGATATTAAAAAATTTAAATTGTATTTCGATTCCTCATTAGTATTCTAAACAAAGTATGAAAATACAAATATCATTTCGATTCTTTAATTTTCATTTCGATTCCTATATTCTCATTCCCATCACTCTATTCCCGATTACCAAATAGCACCTTAGTCTAATATGTGTGTTGGAAAAAGGAATGGGGCTAGTGCATGAAAATTGTTCGGGGATCCAAATTGCGGGGTGGTTAGCATGGCTTAGAGTTTAGGAGATAGAAAGGATACGATATGACATGAATTTGCAAGGTACTATATCCTTATTCTTATGTGTTAAAAAGTTGAATTTCATCGATTTGGTGTGGCCTTATGTGAAGCAGCTTTTCTTTGAAGTCAAACTCGCTTTGAAGTCAACCTAGATTAAATACACTTTTCTTCTATTTATCATTTGCATGGTAATCTATGATATTTTGTCAATGTTATGATTTATATGCGATTAAGTGATGGTTTCTCGCATGATCATTTGAATAGATATTACGCCATTGATTTCTTTTTTTGGTTGCTTATATATACAAAAATAGCAATGATTGTCGGCTACGACTTTTTAAACTTTGCTTTTCTTCACAAGCTTGATATGTGCTCGCAAATTCCTCACTTCGAGGCCCGTTGAATACAAGAGGTCTAGATTGTCTAGGAACCATATGATCGTGAACCATGCCTATAGCGGTGACTTGTCTAGAAATGTTATCAAGGAAAGGTACATTATCTAGATGGCCTATTGTTTTACGCTTTGCCAAGTTTTGGAAACTTACTTTAAGTGGTCTTGGTGTGTTTATGTGTAGGATTATCCGAGCCTTCTTGGTGGAGGAGCAAAAGATTATGAAAAAGGTTTGAAGATCCGGAAGATAAGAAAAACAAGCCTTAAAGAGCTAAATGAGAGGTAGATAAAGTGGAGTTTTTCTACTTAGAGGATGTTTCAACAAAATTTTGTTATGATTAATGGTAATCAAATGCGGAATTGATTATTAGCTTGTTTGATATTTTATGATTTGGATATGATGATTTCATCTTTTGTTAACACTTATAATCATTGAAATTTGGACTCGCTTGCCAATTTTCTTTCATCCCATGTCATTGCATAGTGCTAAACAACAACAACAAAGCCTTAATCCCGAACTAGTTAGCATCAATACTAAAATCGGCCCGTCTTGGACTAATTCTGAATTTTCTAATTGTTTACAATGTTTTAATGTTTATTTAGGTGTTGTTCGGTTAAAAAAGTTCAACAATGAGAAGGCGTGAATTGGAATGAAAATCAGAATACGAGAATTAGAATGATATTATTCAGATATTTATATTTTTATATTGTGTTTGAAATAGTAATAAATTACTATTGAATCGAAATGAAATATAATAGAAAGTTGCAATGAAATTTAAAATTTTTAATATTTAGTTTTTAAGATCAATAAAAATTAGAGTTATTTAGTTTATCAAAGTTGTCTTTTTCTTTTTTTCTAATCAATTATTTTCTTTAGTTTTATTTTATTATTATTATTATTTTATATGCACACGTAGTTCTTTAATGGGATTCACTGCATACGTGATAGACATGTTTCTACCATGTGATTAATTTTTAATTATTGTAGCATATCTTTTTAATGTTAGACAAAAAATATGAATTAAACTTCGATAACCATATTACTATACAAAAACTTTTTCGACATAAATTTTGTTTTTACTCGATGTGGCATAGCCGATAGGATGATAGTATGACATAAATGGCACATAAGATTACACTTAGGATTACTCATGGCTTATTTGACAAATTCTCAATTATGAATTGTATGTCAATCATTCTCAAACCCAATTGAAAAGTTCATAATCCCTCAAATTGCAAAACCCCTTCATTTGCTTACTCTAAATGAATCTAAATAGAGGTTGAAATTAGCGAAGAATAAGCTTTAAATCTTATTGAGTCCCATTTTTTTAGACAAAACAAAAATTATTTTAAGCTAAAGTAACCAACTATTATCCAAGATCATCATCATCTAGTTACAACTCAATTTTCAAGACCTAGGGTTTCAAGTGGTAATTTTGGATTTAGTTGGGAGTGGATAGATTCAATGAGTGGTTATTGTGGTTTTGGTTTTGATGTAGATCAACGATGTGAAGAAGAAATTTAGTGGCTCGGTTTAATGGTGGCTGCTATTGAGCTTGACAATAGCGAGTGGAAAAGGCGATTAGTGGTGGGTGGTGTGTCCACCGAATGGCGAGCTATAAGGGAGAGATTGGTGGCTCTAGAGGATGTTGAGTTTTATGACAATAACGTAGGATTTTGACAATATGGGGGAGTAGCTAATGGTGCTGGACAACAACCGAGGGTTTGTGCGACCAAAGCATAACGAGTAGGGCTATGGGTTTACGGTAGTTACAGCAACGACGGGAGTTTTAATGAATTAAGAGGCTTGGCCACTAGAGGTCGACAACAAGGAGTGGCGACGACGAGGGTGGCGAGTGGCAAGATTTTTAGGTTAAGAGAAAAAATGGAGGTCGTATGTGGGTTTTGAGGGTTTAGAGATTTTTCAATTAGGTTTAAGAATGATTAATATGTAGTTCATAATTGGAGAGTTGTCAAGTAAGCAACGTGAAATCTTATATGTAATCCTACGTGGAATTTATACCATGCGATCATCCTATCAATCACGTCATGTTAGATGAAAATGGAATTTAAACTAAAACATTTATCACATGCTAATATAGTTACTAGAAAGGACGTGATAAAATGATTAAAAGGTATTAACTTTGTAATTTTATAGTATAACAAGCCATAAAAAAAACACTACCATCCCCAAAAAAACCAGTCGTGCTCGTCCCTCTCATTTCAATCAAAAAATCGGCACCTTAATTGCCTCTCTCATCACCAACCTTTCCTTTCACACCACAACTGCCACCACCTTTCCCGAAACTACTATAACCATCAAACCGCTATTATTTATTAACAATCCCTTCTCCTACACCGCTAGCAACTTTCTTCTCTCACCATCATAAGCCATCTCTTTCCGTTCAACCACAAAAACATTATTGCCTCTAGTCATCAAAAGCCCACTCTACCAGCTTATCTTGAAAATCCAACCACGCTAGAACTATCCCTCTATTTACGTCGTAAGGGAAAAAAAACCCACAAAACCACCTACACCTATAAATCCCTCTTTAAATAGACCTTTTTCTTCTTTTTCTTCCGGAAAAACCTTGTTATCACAATGTCGAGTTATGAGTTTTTTTTTTCTTTAAATTGTTTACTTTATTTACTAGTGATGGGTTAGGTTAGGAATGGCAATGGGGCCATCCTCACCCTTGTCCTCGTCCCCATGCGGCGCAGAGACGGGGATCCTCGTGGGGCATCGAGGATCCCTATAAGGAATCAATGTCCTGCTTAATTTTTTGCATCTATATCGCTCTATTCTATCTCATATTATCTTATATCAAATTTTAAACTATAGCAAAAAGATAATTAATAAGTATAATTTATACACATATGTTATGTAAACTTGGAGCTCGAATTTGTTAATTATAAGTGTAATTTATGTTTCATTTGATATAAATTAATTCCCATATGCTTTGAATTTGTAGGTACAACAAATCAAGAGAAGACTAAGAAGTAAGGCAAACAAGGACTTAAATGAAAATAAAAATTAAAAACAAGGATTAAAGAGTAACAAGAGTAAATGTGTTTGACTTGGACACATTAAAAAGCTATTCATCCTATTCTAAAGGGAAAGTGGCGTGGTAGACTATAAAAGGGAGTCTATGGCTATAAAAGAAAAAGGATAGGCATTAAAAATGGAGGGATTGGCATAGCAGTGAGGCGACAAAAAGAAAATCAAACAAAGGTCTATATATTAACAAAGCAAGCCGGGATGACAGAGAGAGGGAAGGAACAACAAGCTTTGAATGGTCGCCAAGAAATTAAAGAGAGAAGAAAAAAACTTAGAAGCAAATAGATTTCATAGACAAGTAATTGTGTTTCTTTTAATTATTACTTTGATGGATTACCAATGTGATATTTTATTTTTAGATCCAAGTAAATTCCTTTATGCGAGAGATAATCTCTTAAATTAAGGATGGATGATTTTAATTCTTATTCTATGTGATTAATTATTTTTCTCAACTCAAAACTTGATTTTTTATGTATGATGAATTTATATTATCGTGTTTAATGCTTTAGGAGAGTACTCACCTCATATTGATTAGGAACATATGCTTGAACCTAAGAAGAAATTGTATGTTTTAGATCATAATAATATAAATCACTAGTTTACTATTAATCGAAAGACAACTAGTTCTAATGCGATAATAGAAGAGAGAAGTGTCCGATGGCATTCTTATTTAATATTAGAGAATTTCGTTGATTCTAATGCATTTAGATCTTAATTTAAGTCACATAGAAATATGAATGATTTGTTAGGTGAAGAATAAGGTTAATCCGACTAGAGATAGCTTATTAACTTATTCAAAGAATTTAGTCGTCACATATATTAAAATAGACCTTAAGATTGTTCGTGACTTGAGTTAATATAGTTAATTGCTTAAGTTAGAATTAAATGAATCTATCCTTAACTACTTATATATCATCTTATTAGTAATTTTTAATTCCGTAAATTTAGAATAGAGTTTTAATTTGATTTTTATTCTCTTAATTGTTTCGATTAATTTAACTTATTCTAAGTTAAATAATTTTAATAGTGTAATTTAATTCCTCATGGGCACAATACTTTCTTACCCTTTATTTTAGATTGGATTTATTACTTATTTGATTGTGCTAAAAAACGAGTAACAATAATAGTCCATATGAAAAATACAATTAAGAAAGACAATCATTTAACATCATATTCAACTACAAGTTTACAATACAACTCATAATATATTAAATTATTTTCAATCGAATAAATAATATACTTAATTAAGTTGATGAAGTATCACAAATGTAATTAAAAACGCAAATTCTTACATGTCTTTATTGCTTAAAGATTATCAAAACTCGCTCATTATGTTGGAGACTAGTTTGTAGCCTCGCATTTTTTTTATATATATGTTAGGTATAATTATAATTTTTAAAGAAAAGGATGAGGTGGGCAAATACCAACCCCGCCCCATCCTCGTTCAAATTCATTATGGGTGAGGTGCCCCGCTCCGTTCCTCGCTCAACTCGTAGAATCCCCGCATTGATCAACGTGGGAAGGGTCGAGGCCCCATTAGGGTAGGGCATATTGCCATCCCTAGGTTTGGTGATGACAATACTTAAATGCTTATGAATGATGGCTTTGATAAAAGAGAAAGAAGGGGTGAATAGTGGAATAGGCAAAAAGAAAAATAACGAAATAAATTTTAATGGTTGGTGGTGATGGTGGTAGAGGCTAAAATGAGTTTGATTTTTAGGTGATTTTTTTTTTTATGTTGGCTATTGATGGCGAGTCGAGAGAGGAGGGAATGAAAGAGGCCGATAGTGAGAGAGAGGAGATAAAGTTGTGAGGCGAGAGAGGGAAGGTGAGACGAGTTAATTTGGTAAAGATGAAAATTGTGATGCAGATTTTCTTAATGGAAATGGCAGTTGAAAGAGAGACTAGCGAGTGAGAGGAGGAGCTAAAGTGGTTTTCCGGTAAGAGAGGGAAAGACAACTAGGGTTTCAATGGTAGAGGATGAGATTTTTCTTTGGTTTTTTTTTTCATTTTTCATATCATTTATACGTAGCACCCATGTGTCTCACAAGTGGTCGCCACATTATTGCATGTCTTTATTGCTTAGAGATTATCAAAACTCACTTATTATATAAGAGACTAGTTTGTAGCTCAATGTTTATATATATATATTGGGTATAATTGTAATTTTTAAAGGAAAGGATGGGGTAAGATGGGGCGAAACAGGGTGACGAGGTGAGAAAATACCATCCCCACCCCATCCCCGTTCAAATTGATTGCGAGGCGGGACGTTACGCCTCGTTCCCTAGTCAACTTGGAGAATCTCCGCGTTGATCAAGGCGAGGAGGGTCGGGTCCCTGTTAGGGCAGGGCAAATTGCCATCCCTAGGTTAGGTGATGACAATAGTTAATTGCTTATGATCGATGGCTTTGATAGAGGAGGAAAGGTGAATAGTGGAATGGGAAAAGAGAGAAATAACGAAACAGATTTTAGTAGTTGGTGGTGGTGGAGGAGGTCGATTTGATTTTTAAGTGATTTTTTAGGTGTTGGCTATTGATGGTAGTCGAGAGAGGAGGGATTGAAAAAGGCTAGCGAGTGAGAGAGAGGAGCTTAAGTTGTAAGGTAGAGAACGAAGGGGAGACAAGTTAATTTGGTCGAGATGACAATTGTGATGTGGATTTTCTTAGTGAAGATGGCGAGTTGAAGGAAAGACTGGTAGTGGGTGGTTAGTTGGTGGTGGAGATTCCATTTTTTTGCGTGGATTATTTGGATGAGAGAGAGGGGAAGTAGAAGGAGAAATGGTCGGCGAGTGAGAGGGAGGAGCTAAAGTGGTTTTGCAATAAGAGAGGAGAAAGGCGGCTAAGGTTTCAATGGCGGAAGGATGATATTTTTCTTTGGTTTTTCTTTTTTTCCATATCATTTATACGTGGCATCCACGTGTCTCGCAGTGGTTACAACATCATTGCCACGTGTAAAACAGGTCTCACTAATGGGCCACATGTGCATATAATAGGAAAAATTAATGAAAAGCTAACAAAGATACTTGCTTAGAAAAAAAAATTTCCACTTGAATTATTCAAATAATCAAGATTAAAGTGGACACACTTGATTAGAAAAAAATGACAACTTCATAAATTGAAATGGTAGTTAACTCTAAAAATAATGATTTAAAAAATAATTTCATCATATATGATGGTAGTAAAAATAATATAGGTAATTACGGCAACGAGTGGTGATGGAGAAGAAGGAAGTGATAGTAATAATCGTATAATAATAGCAAAATCTATTTTATAAAAATTGATTCTATATGTGGTAGTAAAAAAAATAGTGGTGGTAGTATAATAAAAATGATAGTAGTAGTAAAAGAAGAAAAGTGATAGTAGAATAATAATAATAAACTTTTAAAAAAAATTTTGTTTAATCATCATTTTCAAAGGTAATTGCAGCAGCGACAACAAGTATAATAGAAGTGATAATAATGATGAAAAAGTAATGATATAATAATAATGTTTTTTTCAATTTTTTTTATCGCCACTCGCCATTAGCGATCGTGATGGTAGCAATGATAGTCAAAATAGTTGATATATAATAATAAAAAAAGAGTATTTTAAAGAAAAAAAAAGGTTTTATCCTCATTTTTTAATTTTAATCCAACTTTTCTATGGAAACAAAAATAAATTTAATTTTCATTTCAATTTCTACTCTCACTCCATTCGATTCAACCAAAAACACCTACAAAATACAAATAAAACTCACACTCTGTTTTTCACCATTCCATTCTTTGTTACCAAACATCTTTTAAGGTACTCATCATTTTTCCTATGGCATTTTAACCATGCAACTAACAATTACTTTTGATCCTATGTATCTTGCAAATAATTTTAATAAAGCATCATAACAAGTGGTTTTTTAGCATTTTCTACGTTCAATTTTTTTGGAGGGCAAAGCCATCTAGCACTTCTTGTTTTGATTAACGGCTGATGAAAAACGAATAAATCGGTCAAATAATTTCACACCAAACAGTGTTATTTTGCCTGCATCCAGTCCAAGACCATGTTTCACACCAAACAGTGTCATTTCACTTGCATCCAGTCCAAGACCATGAATCACAAAGTGCCTTGAATACAATCATGTCAAACAATGAAGATATGACTTACAATCATGACTTTGTTCCTCGCATGTCCTTTCACTTTGCAAGATAATGCACTTGGCCCCTAGGTTCTCCTCCCACCTCCATAATAAGACTAGTTGGTTCCCATGTCTCAGTTCTTCCCTGATATGGTTGAATCCATGTAAAGATCTTCATTAATCCTCAAACATGTTCCCAAGCCACCATTTCAAGCTGGGAAAATACGTAGAACTTGTCCAGCCATTATGAATGTGCCGCCAAAGGTTGGCCGTTCCGCATGAGGTTTCTGCTGATGCATCTTTAAGGTCAAATTGGAGAACGCATTTCTCACCTCTTCTAGTAAGATGAATAATGCCGAATCACCTAAGAGCCATGAAGCACTTGGCACCATGGCCTACACAGCAAAACTCATAGCATGAATCCGCAAATAGAAAATTTTATGTACACTTCTTTACATAATCAAATGTTTGGTTGGATATCTCTGGATCGCATGTAGGATAAAAACTGGGTAGGCAGTTCTGCCAAAAGTGCTTGAACAACGGAAATCTCTCTATCTGCAAATATTAGGTATGTTACCACCCAAAAAGAAATCATTGAAGCTTCATCCCAAATTGATTTACCAGATATACACTTACTTTGTACATCTCGAAATGGTATAAACTGGACTATATCGCGCGAAGCAACACGACCAGCTGAACTTTCTAGTCTCTCTCCTTTATCAGCATCTAAAATCTGGGTAGCAACCATTAAACTTAAGAAAATTGGAGGTAGTCCATAAAATAACTGGGGTTTATACAATCATACATTTCCACTATGGATGTATTGGTTTAAAAAAGTACCTCCATTTCTTTAAAGTCAGCTCCTCCAACTCCAACTATGAGGATTGACAGTGGTAGGTCAGATGCTTTCACTATGGCATCTTTGGTTTCTTGGAGATCAGTTACAACTCCATCCTGAGATAGTCACACAAGAAAACAGTATAGGAATTAAACATGAAAATTTTATTATTCCAAGAATATACTAAATCCATCTCAAAAACACAAATTATTAAATTCTACATCAAAATGGAACGGTACTACATAACAGAATCAGAATAAGCGAGTGCTGAAAAGAATGCCTAGAAAAAAAAGGTGCTAAATTGTGAAATTGGTGAACTGATAAGCATGTCAGCCAAAGACATAACACATTAACATCGCAAGGAAAACCCAGCCAGAGTTTCACTGTCATTCTTACCGTAATTATTAACAAAACAAAGTATTTTCTCCCTCCATTTGCAAGAGACTGGCTAGCAATCAGTGCAGCATTGCTGATCACAGGTCCAAAAAGTGTTGGCCCTGCCAGAGACACATTGTAGAGAGCCCTGGTGTATGCTACCATAATTCCATCGATTCCGTCAACCTGGAAGAGTGACATGCGCTTAAAAAACAGACATTGCAAGTAAAAGTAGGAGCATCTGGCTTCTGATTTCGAAGTAATTCACCTCACAGTGATTGTTGCTTCCATTCAAGTTAAAACAATGTGAGACTGGACCATCGATTGGTCGTGCCCCAAATCCCCATGCCGGAAAGCGCTTATCTGAATCATAAAACTGCAACACCTCTCCAACCTCTACGATTGCCTGGAAAACAAATTGGCCGATGCAGTGATATATGTACATTATAAAAAGAATATAAAAGGAAGAAAAAAGTATAGAAGAGAGCCATTTCCTTACTCTTTGGTAAGCATTTTGCCGTACAGATGAATCAAGGTAATGCAAGGAATCAGGGAGGCGGGGATTTCCGTTTGAAGCTGTAAGATGAAAAAATAAAGGTAGAAGAATACATTAGGGTGCTTAAAACAAATGGATTATGATGTTAGTTATTATTTATTTTTATGAACAATTGTTTTGATGGAAACCTTGGGCATGGATGGGTGGTTGGGGAGGGAGTGAAATGAGAATAAGAATAAATATGAAGGTAATTTATCCTAAATGCCATAAACTCCTCAAAACATGACTCTGATTCCAACTAAAAAGCTTTAGCCGCTAATGCTTTGTCATATCATAAAAACACAAATTATACAGAGATATCTTTAATCAGAGAGAAAGTCTGCTTTTTTTACAGGTCTGTAGATCAAAATAAAAATTAATAAATATCATAATAATTTCTGTATGTAGCTAAAAACATAATCCTGCCACCCATTGTTTAAGATGAAAGTCAAGAGACTGACAGAAATGGAATGAGAACAAGGATACACATTAATTCAAGGACAAGAATAAAATTGATGTAGAATCACAAACTAAATCATCAAACCAAAAGGAAATAATAATTTGCACTCTAAATGTTATTGAGAGAAAAAGAATTTGGTCCATAGGGAAAAAAAAAATTTTGTAACTAAAGTTAAATTTTGTAAACAGTTACCCGTGAAATCAATTGCCACCATGAAGTTCAGTTCACATCCCCCAGCCAAGTAATCCAAAAATGTGTGTCGACTACTTTGGGAAAACTTGCCCACAAATAGCTGGCTCTTTAATACCTGCATGAAAATAAGCAAGTTAGGCATGCAACAGCGAAAAGAGAAAGATTCATGATTGAAATCAATTTGATTCACATAATCAAACCTTATTCTGATGATTATGCCCGACAGTAGTGGGTAAAAATAAATGCTCTCCTTCGCCATTAGAATGAAGCTTTTCCAACTCAGCTAATGATTTTTGAACTTTTCTGATAATCAACAAAGAAGAAGAACTATCAACATGCCAGTGTACGGAGGTAAGGTAAAAATAAAAAAGGAAGAAGAAGAAGAAATCACCGGTTACCCAATTAAATCATGCTTGCCACTGCTATTGAAGTTAAAGCACTCGATCATTAATGGATTTTCCTGCAAGTTCAGATAGAAAGGTAACATTGCCCTGGAAGGCCATAGTGGGTATTGGACTCAAATAAAAAGACAAAACTTGCACAGCTCATGGAACATGCTTTTACCTTGCTTCCAACTTGCTGAATACTCAAATAGACTGGTTTCCATGCTGGGCTGTGATCATTTTTTAAAACTTCTGTTTTACACACAGGTATAGGGAGCCCAACCTCAACAATTTTTGAGATCAACAAAAAAGGGTCCTGCAGATATATAACAAAACCATTATTTATGTTTCTCATGCAATGTTCAACAAAAGATCAAGAAACAAGATCTCAATAGCCCATACACTTCTGGAGAACAGATCCTTATGTTCCAAATCCGAGCACCTTAATATCAGCTCCGTTGTAGTCTTTGAGCTTATGCATTCCTCGGCATGCACAATAAGCTGTCCACAATGTCGACGATTGCCTGATATGGTAAGATCTTCTCTACATACAAGATCTAAAGTCAATGACCTGATTGGCTTGGTCACAATCTGCGCCAACAGAAACAAGACTGGTTTAGTAAATTATAAATTTAACTGCAAACAAGTCTCTAAAGGTCATTTAATTTTTACACATATCCTTTTTACCAAGAACACAACATATTTGATCTAAATTTAGATCTCAGCTTTCATCATAGTTACTACAAGGTCCATCTCACTAGGATTAGAGTAAGAAGAATTCCCTCCTTTGAAGAACAACACCAAGATTCCCATTCTTTAATAATTAAAGAGAGAAGTGAAGTAGAATGGCCATACCTCAGATAATACACAAGAAGCTTCACCAAGAAATTGTTGCTCTTCTAGCTTAAGCATCTGCATTTGTTGAATCATTAATTATATGTAGGGCATGCTTCCATTCATTCCAATGACAATAACTTGTTATAAACATTCTGCACTGTTTCTTGAATAACATTTTTCTAAACACTGAACTATATCCATGTTATATCCAAACAGTGTGACATGTTACAAATCAACCAGAGAGCAGCTTTTATACGAAAAGCTTAAATCCAGAGGAAAAGACCAACAATTCCCTGAAAATGTTGTTTGGGAAAATCTATTTATGAACATGTTCCTCTCTCCTGTTTGCACAGAAATACCTCATCGGCCATAACTAATCCCAACACCCCCATCACCCCAAAAAAAAAAAAAAAAAAAAAAAAACCTACCCAATTGGGTCTTCATTGCATGTTTAGAACAGTTAATCGATAGCTTTCATGATTCAGACATATTTAATGACTGAGTAAAGGTTATTTACAAAATTAAGTGCTATAACTGAACAACCATTACTTCCTCTTCTAGTTTTTTTTTTTTTTTTTTTCAGTTTGTACCCATATTAAACTAAAATAACTATTGAGGTGTTGTCCAGTTAAACTGATTTATACTCAACGGGGAGGTTGCAAAGGAGTGACTCTAGTGTAGCTCTAATTTGCCACCCAATTTCATAACAAATTCAATGTGTGGGTATCTCTTGACAAATAATTTTTTTTAAAAAAAAAGACTAAAATGTTACAGTCGTGTACTGCATTTAGAGACAATATTAGCCACCTCCAAAATAGTCCCTGATAAAATATCAACAAGGATAAGAACCTGTCCCTAAAGGGGTTCAAGCTCAAATACATGGATGAGAAGCCAGAAGTTTGTATGATAGGGGAAGATTTACTCCAATTGTGAAATCCAAGGCTTCGTCAGTCTCCCAATGTCCCAAAGGACCAAAAGCAAAAGAGGACAGAGGATAGTAATATTAAGGATGGGCAGATTATGGAAACCTATTTTAAAACGTGCAATTGCTGATTTCTTTACCTTACTTTCATCTGAGTTGTGTAGTACTTTTTTAACATCATCAAGTTGTGAGAGGAAGGGAATACATGATTCATTGGAATTAAAGTCCTAGATATGTTGGCATGAATTCCAAATGTTGTTCAAGAAATTGGGACTAGAGTTAACATCTTAAATGCTGCCCATGTATTTGTAACTTAATCAACACCAATGTCTCTCTTCCTTTGAAAAAATTTCGGATTCGAGCTTCTCTTCTATGACTTGAATCTTGGACTCAAACAGATTTTTGATATTTTGACAGTCTCTGATAGCTGGAGATAGTATGAGGTTGTTGGCTTACTGGTTTGGATTCATATTCCACTTTTCTTTTGCATCTATCAATTAAAGAGATATCATCCATAAATTGGTCTTGCACGTTCGAACCAAGACTTCAATAGAATAGCAAGAATGGTGAAAATTTTTAACATGTTGTCCCATGCAGAGAGTATTTATTGAACAAACATATTGATCTTGGAAAGAGAATCAAGTTTGTTAGGGAGGCTATTTGGTAATATACTATTATTAAGAAAATCACGGTTAAACCAATTTTATCATAAATAAAGGGCAGAAAAAAAGGAAAGAGCATACAGAACTATATAAGGATACCTTTACGTCTGTGTTGTGAAATTGAGTGTCGACATCATATGCACGAAACCTGAGGTAAATTACGCAGATTACAATATAGTCAAACCAATAGAACTCATATTTGGTTTGGAAAAATATGGAGATACAAGCATTGAACTTACACCAACGTTTGAACAACTTCAAACTGAAATGTAATGGTGTGTTTTGTAATCCATGTCGGATTCAATGAATTAAGAACTACTTCTGTTCGGAAAACTTCAGTAAGTGTTCCATCTTTTGCTTTAGTATAACCAACCAACATCGGATCACTCTAAAGCAGATAAAATTTCAATGATAAGAAACAGAAGATACAAAAAAATCTGAAACGGTTAAAATATCAGGCTATTGCACAAAAAAATTAAACTATAAAAAGTAACTAAACATGCCTTCAATCCCCTAATCGGAAACTTAATCACTGATTTAAAAGCTGTCATTATAATGAAGCCTTGTAATAAAAAAAATAATTGAGGTAGCATGTGATTTTGGATAAGGAAATTTGCTAATATCACATATAAAATGTTGGAACCTATTGCCAACGTATAGAAGTTTAACACATGATATTCAATAAATTGCCACTCTTAAGCTATAAATCCTTCATCTACTAGTAACCAACAAACTTTGTTTTACCAAAATGCGTAAAAAAGCAAATCCACCAACCTTTGAAAGCACATCCCGGTCACGCAAATTTGTAGCAGAAAATGATAACTGCATAGATATTTGTTTTCAAAAAGCAGAGTCAATACAAAGTACACAAAGAGTTAGCTAGACATGAATAAACAATGTCTAAATCAAAATAAAACAAAAGATCATTCCATTGCATTCAATTGGTAACACATATAAATCAGTATCGAGCGTAACATTCTATTCGAGCAATAACCAACCTATACTATGTATCCGCCGCAATTCATGTTCATTGTTCGCGTTCGATTCATGAGCCTCATTGCATTATGTTACCATGTCATTTCGGTCTAGGTGAGATTAGTTCTGAAGGAAACTTTCATTTAAGCTAAAAATTCAAAAGATTAAACCTAATTAACAATCAACCAACTCTGCTTCTGATAATAACTTCTATTTAATTCAGCATCTTAACACTAATTAATTACTGGTTAAAAACTGCTAAAAGCTGATAAAAATCAACTCCAGAAATGAATCTACCTAAATAATGCCACGCATAACATTAGCATAGCTTCCATCCATAAGCATCAACAATTAACAATTCTAAATCAAATTTATTTACTGAGTAACAACAAAAGCAAGCGAGAGAATCAAGGACCTCGATCTGAGAGCCGTACAAGCCACGAGACTTGAGGAAAAGATCGACAGCGTCATTTCCAGCTGCGTCAGAAGCAGCAGCGGCGCTGCCACCAACTGCCGCCCTACCCCCTGCCACGTCGGAGCAGCAATTCCCCATTATACTCTACCAGTAGCAAACAGAGTCTGATGACTAGCAGCAAATATACGTTTTTCTTGCGAAAAAAAAATTAATACCAGATTTCGATGCCGAATCGAGAAACGAAAAAATGAGTAAAAAGAGAAGAGAGAAACAGTGTCTGATTTTTTTCTATTATAATAATAATATCTGTAAAGAAAGAGTAAGTGCAGTGAGTTTGATACGTTTGTGGTCCCTTCTCTGTTTCTTCTGGTCTTTGCATATATACCTATATATACATATCCGTCTCTTTAATAACGCGTTTTTAAAGCGCGTTTTGTTTTCAAATTTTAATTCAACTACATTTTGATCCTTATAAAATCATCAATTAATCACATCTATCATTGTAGTTTAACATCTATAATATATAGTTTTTAACAAGTTTAACTTTCACCCTTTACTCATAAATAAGAAAATGATAATGAGTCGTTTTCCATTTTTTTCATAAATCCTCATGTTTATTGTATCATTTTATAAAAATATTTAAAAAGTAATGCAACTTTTTGATTATATTTTAACTAGTTATCGAATTTTTTGGCTAAATATTAACTCAAATATAGAGTTTATCTGATTTGTAATTAAAAAACATGAATCCAAATTTCTCATTAAAAAAATCTACAAAAACCAAAAGGAACCAAATTCAAAAGGTAGCTATTTAGTTATTAGAAATAACATCAGTACTTCTTGAAAACTAGAAAAATAAGATTGGAAAACTTGTAAGTTATAAGGGTAGAAATAAAACATTGGTAAATCCATAAGGGCAAAGATGAAGTTTAGGCTTAAGGTTCCTCCGGGTTTAGTAACATGCACAGCAGTTATTTTGTAAACAACTAACAACCAATGAATCTCTGCCACGTTGCGAGAAAGAGCAATGATTGGGTTTGAGATGAGGTGAATTTACTTTGATGCCATGAAGTTTAGGTTTTGGTGAGTAGGTGATTGGGTGTTGTAAAAGGCTACGTAGAGTCTTAAAAATTTTAAAGGTCGTTGGTTCATTCAACGGCTTGAAAATTGAAGTTGAAAAAAATATATATATAGGAAATTAAGATGGCATTTGGAAGTGTAGTTGCTGAGAAATTTAGCCAATGAAAATGGAGACGGCATTCAGAATGTCATATTGGGGACTCCGCTTTGAATTTGAGACTCCGAAAATGCCACTACATAGAAACTTTGAAGCCAATTGATTCGTTGACCAACTAATTTACCATCTAAAAAAGAATTTTGATTTTAATTACAAATAAAAATCAAATAGAGGCATGAAAAAGGATTCTAACTAAAGTATCTCCATGGACCTTAGTGTGAGAAATTTTAACAAAATTCATGCAACAATTTTTTATTTTTTTTTTACCTGTTCCTTTTAGGATGGGACGAGATGATTCCGTTGAATCAATATGACTTTGCTTTTAGTGTTTTGGCTTTAAGAATAGCATGTTCTGAAAAACGCATGTGATGGTGAAATTATTTATCACGACTGCAGCTTTGACGTATTATAATTATTGTATATGTTTAATTTGTTTATAAAAATTTAATAAAAATTTAGTTAATTTTATTATTTACTAATTCATGTTTTTTTAAGAATCACGACGTGGTAGTCTGTTAGTAAGTAAACATCGTCTTGTAGATCGAGTTCAAGATTTGATTCTTATAACCAATACTTTTGAGAATTTATTTTGAAAATATCCGAGGTAGTGTGTTGAGGAGTATTCTTTAGCCACATCCAAGATGAGATTAATCTTGAAGTAGATGAAAACTAACTCGAGAACACCTTTACTCGTTGAAAAAAAAATCATGTATTTTAAAGAGTTTAAACTACACAATAAATATAATGGATTGAGGATGGACATCGTCCAATACAAGATTTTGGGCTGTGCAAAGATAATCATAGGCATTCTCACAAGTTTAGTACTTATGTCTTGCCTTTAAATGTATTAAGAAGATTGATTTGGTAGAGTTATAGTAGGATCCAATAAAAGAAAGTTCAATTGTTATTTTTTAACGTTTGACAAAAGTCGAAGAAGTTTAGTTTTTTAAAAAATGCAATTTTTTCAACTCATATTTAACTATATAAACATGAATGATGTAGCATAATTTTAATGATTAAGAAGTTATTTTTAATTCATTATAAATATCAACCTCTCACTATTGCGATAGAATTCCAACCTTTTGATTTAAAGCAAAACCTCTAAACTCTCTCCCACGTCAAAAGTCTTCCACTTATATATAGAAAAGTGCATAAAACTCTATTTGTTTGGACTTTAACCACTCATCTATCATTCAACTTGTATCTTACTATTATTATATGTTTATTTTTTTATGTGTCTCACTTCTTATATTTATTTCACTTGATTGATTGATGTTATTTCTAAATATCATAATACTAAAATCACTATAATTTGATGGGTGCCTCAATATCTTAGACTTGTTAAAAAATAAAAAATAAATAAACCCCAAGAGACTATTTATATATAACTTATTTACTACATGAAACTTATCATTATATAATTTTCTTAAAGTCACACACTTTTTCTTTCTTTTTTTATTATAATATCTTGATTAATCAAAGGGCTGAACGGATCTTAAATTATGTTACGGAGTTTTCTAAATTTTCACCACGAAGGCTTCAACCCAAAACTCAAAACCTTTTAAATAAAGATTTCAGTCGTTAATTTCTGGAGTATTCTCTCATGAATGATATATACTGTTTTATTCATTCTCAATTCATGCCCATCGGGATGGTTAATTTTTTTTCTTGACAAATTATGTATATATATAATATTCAAATACAAAACCACTTACATCACGGTAATTTTATTTTCATGGCGTCTGAAAAATTCAACTTTGGAACTTGACCATACCAGGGGTATAACTGGAAAGTCACAGAGGGATCGTTCAAAGGAAGGTTGGGCTGGAAGTCAAATCCGTCACATTTTAAAAAAATTAAGTGGGTCCATCACCTGAAAAATAAGCAATTATTCAATCAGTTTAATGACCAACAGAAGGACAAAACAGGGATTTAAAAGTAACATTTTGGTGAATCTATTAGGGTTATAATATCACAGCTTTTTGATCAACTCTGTTAAAAGTGCGTAAAACATTAAAAGGGATATAATGTCTTTTAGGAAACATCACTTATGATGTCTATTAGAGTGTTAGAATATGAATAATTTGTCCTTGTTAGCTTCACGAACAAGAGACTTTGATAGCTAATCCGCCCAACAATCCTTTGGTGTTTTCAACAAGGTTTAACTTTATTTTTACCTACTCCGACGCTCATCGATCACCACGCATGCTAAATAAGGAGAGTTTACCCTTCTCCTGAAATAATGACAAAAAAAAAAAAAAGAAGAATTTGCAAGAGTAAATTATAAATTAATTCATCTTATTTTGAAAAATGAATTAATTAGTTGATCTATTTTCAAAAACTAATTTTTTATTTTATTTTTTATTTTTTAATTTATTTTGATTTTTTGGTTTTAAAAAATAAAATATGAGTAAAAGTATAAAAAGATTAATAAAAAATATTAAATTAGTCGTGATCAATACCGATAAAAAAACTAAATAATTAATTTTTAAAATAAAAGATATTAATTCATTCCTTTCTTGAAACAAAAAGAACTAATTTATAATTTACTTGAATTTGTAATGATCTACCTCCTACGCCAATCAATGCCTTAACATATCATTTCTCTTTCTATTTATCTCAATTATTTAAGATTATCCGTGTGTTATTAATTATAATTACTTTGTGAATTGAATACGACATATGCAAATAATTTTCACGTACGATAAAAATTAAAATTTCAAGTGAAGAAATATTTTTTTGATTGGCCATGTCTCTAATTTTCATTCCAAGTGGAATTTAAAATTTGACAGATTCATCCATAGATTATATTTTATAATTTTTTTATCCATAACCTAAATGGTTTTACACAAGAGTGGCTAAATCAATCAAGTCGTCAACTTACACATTTTAATTAGAAACTTGACCCAATCTAGACTCTGAATCACGAGATTTTTAGATTCACCTACCTCTCCATGTTTCACAATGTTCCAACTCAAATTGTTTGGTAACATGGTAAGGGCTTCATGAGCCAAGCTAACTAGAACCTCAGATCAACTAAATACAAATTACATGAAATTAGTTGGTTATTTGTACTATGCTAAAAGAATAGATAAAATTATTATAGTTTAATGGCTTTCACCATGCTACAAATCCACTAAAATATATCGAAATTCAAGAAAAAAAATCACCTAACTTTATGTTTCTTTTTTAATAAATTTCATTCTTTAAAAAACAACAAGATTTTTTTTTATTACATAATTTCTTAAATAAAAATTGATAACAATCCAAAACACAAGTTTCAATTACTAAAAAATTAAAAAAAAAAAGTTTAAATTTGATTATTTTTTTCTTCATAAGATTACATCAAAAAAATAAAGCAACAATTAATGTAAAATAAATTACATAAAAATAAAAAATAAAATTTTATCCTTGTTGAATATTGATGAGAAGATTAATTTTTAAAAGTGTGTGTATGTGTTTGAGTATAAAAAATTTCTATTTGAAAAGTATGGTACCATTGGTTTTTTTAACATAATTTTAATTATTTTATTTGACAAAAATTGATTTCAAAATATCTTAAAAAATAAAAAATGATAAATATTAAGTATTTTGTGTGTATATGCATATCAATTTCCAATAAAAAATGCCTATAAAATTTATTTCTATAAATTTTTATAATATAAAGGAAGTAAATAGAACACGTGGATATTTTTTTCGTCTTAACATGCATTTTTATTTTTAAGCCATACATGCTTAGTCTTAGACTTCACATGTATAAAAATCAATTCTATCTTCTCCTTTCTTTCTTTTTTTTTTCTTTTTTTTTTTCATCCAATCATTTCATGACTTGAGATCACCATAAACAAACTCTTATTTTTAAAGTGAATAAATTGAAAGCAAGATTGACAATTAAAATAGC